CGTAGGTTGGTTGGACAGAGTATAAAGCCAAAATTCAATTGGAAAATTATCAAAATCTTATTTCCGGTTCTACTAGAGATGAAATTTGAACCAAGAACCATAACAATTCTATTCTTATTGCTCTCAGTGCAAAAACTGAATCAGAGAAGTGTAAACCTTCGATTTCTGACCATTCAAGAGTTACAGTACTTACAGAGCTATAAAGAGAGGTTTAAAAAACTCGATGTTTGATGCTCGCAGAGCTGAAATTCAATTGAAAAATTGTGGGGATCCCTACTAGAGCTGAAATTTGAACTGAATATTATAAATATTCCCATTTTGTCGCTTCTTATGCGAAAACTGTCAAGAATGTGTAGATAATAACAATGGAAAAAATGCCAAAACAAAACAAGTGCAAAGGACCTGCAAGTTGGATGATATTATGGCGAAGTTAGAGTCCATGGAACAAAAATACAACTCACTGTTTGTAAAATCCAATGAGCAACTACAGATCAACGAAAAACTTCAAAGCATAAAAAAAAAAACTAAACAAAAAGGAGCAAAACAAAACAATACTTAATAATTTGATAATTGAATGTGTCCCTTATAAAGAAAATGAAAATGCAGGGGAAATGGTGGATAAAGTTGGAAAATTTTTGGGAATACCCATAGAATTGGCAGAGACAAAACCAAAAATAGTCCAATTAGGGTTGTTCTTGAAGACAAAGATGTCAAGATGAAATAGCTAAAAAATGAAGAACATGCAGCAGAGAACAAAATTTATATTAACCACGATCTAACAAAAGCGGACCAGGAACTGTTTACAGCAGCAAGAAATTTTAAAAAAGAAAAGGGATATAAATATCTATGGTATAAAAATAGAGATATATTTCTCTCAGAAAGAGTGACAGTACTAAGACCATACTTGTGGACAACGAACACATTCTAAAATACTAATAACCCAATCTGAAACCAAATTGGCTGTTACCTTCATAAACATCAAAAGCATAAAAAATAAATTAGAGGAATTGCAATGTTTAGTAGTAAATAATAATTGTGAAATCTTAATTCTAGTCGAAACTTGGTTGATTGACAATGAAGCTTGGCCCTATGAAATTGAGCGCTATCAGGCCTTACATCCATGCAGGCTAAGAAAGGAAAAGGAGCTTCAATTTATATAAAAAAAGGCATACAATTTGAAGTTGTTGATAACATTAGACATCCGAATTAGATAGGGGAGACTTAGTAATAGCAGTGTTTGGGATTCATAGAGAATATGTATAATATTATAAAATCTTATTTATCTGATAGGCTATAGTACCTAAGAGTGGGTACACATCTGACATCTGAGCCACATTGAGAGCTGTAATTTTGGGGTGCCACAGGGCTCGGTTCTTGGCCCTCTATTTTACTCTCTTTATGTGTTAAGTCCTAAAAATGCTGGTGTGGGCTCAAGATTGTTTGCTGATGACAAGTACTACTGTATAGTTTCAATAATTTAGAGGCCATCGATACCATTGCGAATGGTGATCTGAAGTTATATACTGATTGGTTATTGTTCAATAAGTTAAAAATTAATGTTAATAACCAAATTTATGTTGTTTAAACAAAAACACAAGATACTACTAGATTTAACCTAAACAAGCCTTCTAGTGGTATAATTATTATTTGTCCTAAACACTGTCCAGAGGATATTTGTTACCTGTATTTTGCAATTTAATAGTATGATAAATAAATATTAAATTTTCAAAAAAAAATTGAACCGGAGAAGCGATTTGTGAACATTACAAATACAAATACAAAATATTTTATTTTGAACCATATATGTAATTTTCACATTTCTTACTGGTATGAAGGTTCTTTTGTTTACTTTAAAGCAGGCCGAAAGTGACAGTTTTCCTGTCACTTTCGGCCTGGAAAACTCACTTTCAGCTTGATAAATTGTTCTTTCACACCTAAATACGAATTCAGGTGCAATGTTTGTATTTAGAAGTAGATGTCACATGTGTTTATATTGTTGAAATTTCATAAGATGTCAATGTCGGTGTCAGAGTGTCAGTCGAAACTCCATTTTTGTCATATTTTTAACTTATTTTTTTTCCATAATTAATGGTTCAAAATAATAGTTATTTATGTATCAAGGGAATTATGAGGGTATTAACACCTGATAATTCCCGTGGTACATAGATAATTTTATTTCCTACTGAATTTACTGTATTTTGTCCATTTTTATAAAAGAATAAACCATAAACCAAAATGTCTATTTTTTTGTCAAAATTTCACGTATTCAAGGTGAAAGCGGTAGTTATGGAAATCCTTAACTCCCTTGGGAGTTATGATATCCTTAACTCCCGCGCGGGAGTTATGAAATCCTTTCCTTGGGAGTTAAGACCGTGTTTATGATTATCGGAACCAAGGTATTATATGGTTATAATAGTTCAGTAGGAAATAAAATACCTATTATCCATAGAGAAATATAATAAACCAAGGTAAGAGTACCTGATTGATAACATGAAAGTATAGCGCTGACGTCACAGCGACGGTGGCGTCAATAGTGGCAGCCGGAACAAATACTGAAATGGCGGGAATTTTGAAATTTGACTTGAGTTGATTGCACAAAAAACTTACTTATGTCGTTCCACATCTTTTTTTCTCAAATCCGAATGAGAAAAATGATGTGGTACTCCATAAAGTTTTGTGCCATTTTTTGATGTAGATTAAAAAAAAAGGCAAAATAAACACTAAATTGTACTAGAAATAGTTATTTATGATATAAGTGCTAAAAGTGACATTTTATTTTGTGAAAAGGGAAGTTTGGGACACGACGCCGAAGGCGGAGTGTTCCATCCCTTTGAACAAAATAAAATCACTTTTAGCACGAATATCATACACTATTTTTTCTAGAAACGCACTAAAAGTGATTACTTTTAGCACTAGTGCTAAAAGTAATCACTTTTAGCACCAGTGTCATAAAATGGCATTTTAGACACTGACAGCATCCGTTAAAAATGACACTTTTAGTGACGTTTGTAGAAAAAAATATATATTATAGCTAGATAGGTCAAATACCTAAAGAGTTTACAAACACAGTTATTACATCCCTTATACATGCTTTAATGTATGTACAAGCTAAGCTGGCCAAGGCCTAACATATACATTTTATCTCTTCTGACTGAGGTCTCCTAAAACAGTAAAAAAATATGCCGTATATCACAAAACTAACATGTATACTTACTGGTTCAGTTTATCCTAGTTGTACATAATATTATAGGTACGCGATACCGAGTGCCTTAATAAAAATGACAATTTTCTCTTCTTGTTCTTTAGATTTTGTGAGTTCGAGTCTTCTTAGACGACCGCCCAATCGGTTAAAAATGACAAATTTCAACACGGAAATGTCGTTATTTTAAGGTTACTTATTTGTTTTCTCGGTCACAGTTTCTATAGTTATGGATGTTTGATAGGTTTCTACAAAACAGCTAGGAAAGCTCTGTAACTCATACGGTGTCCTTGTCTTATGAATTGGTATGACAGAGAAAGATGAAACAGAATCGAATGATCGGACTGATCTTTCGTAAGTCTCTGGCTTTCCAAAAATTCCGCCGGATGCGCAGTAATGGTATAACCTATTTCGGCTATACTTTTGAAGGTCTTTTTATTTTTTAGTCTATGCTATAATCCGTTCACAATCCGATGCCCACAGGTAGGTACAGGTAAAATCACCTTTCAATGCTATTTGATAGGGAAAGGTGATAAATTTACCTGCACCTGTGGACATCGGATTGTGAACAGGATATAGTATACATATTTTGATGGAAAGTTTTCACATAAATGTCTCGAGAATTGGTTGACCTCGGCGGTCCGCACCTCGGTCAATCATAGTATCTCTCGACAATAATTACCTAAACACTTTCCACCTCCGCATGTAATATAGTGGTGCCAAAACAAACGTTTTACACAAGTCAAAAAAAAAAAAAAGATTCTACGGAAATAGTGATTACGTGATATCACTAAAATTATTGGACAAATATTAATGAATACTATAAAAACTTTTTGAAATAAGGTACTTTTTGATTCTTGTTTTGAAGCCTTGAATCGGGTAGGACCTTGTGTGGAGGGGCAATTTGTTATAAAACAGAGGTCCATAGAAAGATTCCCCTTTTTCATGCGATTTATTTGATGAAAATCAGTGTGAATGTTGCTATTATTCCTAGTTAAGTGGGAGTGGACATTTTCAAACCTCTCATAATCTCCAAGATTTGCTTTTATATGTAATAAGCAGCTAAAAATATATAGGCATGGAACTGTTAAGATATTTAGTCTGGAAAAATACATTTTACAATCAGCTCTGTAGTGCAAATCCTGTAGGATTCTTACTGCCCTTCTAGTCTGTAGGATTCTTACTGCCCTACTAAAAAGATTATGTATTTCAAAATAGTTGGTGATTCTAGATTTTAGGAGAAGAAAGGAACAATTGATATTGGCTGGTAATTTGTTAGGTCTTTCTGTGGGCCCTTTTTATAAATAGGTACTACTTGAGTGCACTAGGAAAAACTGTCTCGTGGTCTCGTATACACAAATTTAAAATTATCACTAAAGGATAAACAATGATATTTACAATGTGTTCAATCAGTTGAGTGTTTATTCCATAGTAGTCTCTGCTATTTTTATTTTTAAAGGATTTGATTAGTGTAGTTTCCAGATGGTAATTGGGAGGGAGGCAACTCCTTTATGATTTCAAATGCTTTTGTAGAAAAAAATTATTAAATTCATTAGGTGAGATGAGAGAGTATCTGCTGCCTCATCTCAATACTCCCAACAAATTTGGCTTCCTCATCAGTTGATGACAAATCGTTGCTACATATATTTCAGAATAGGACTGATTCCTGTGAGATACTAATTTAGTTCATGGTTCCAATTGATATGCATTTTTCAAAATGTCCAAATAAAATACCTACCCAATTCTACAAAATGGTTTAATATATTTATTTTTTTACATTTTGTTGCTACTGACAAAGTTCTTATTTTTGATTATATATTATTCTCACTGATTTGCTGCTGCGTATATCGGGTATAACAGGCGACGACCGCGACGTCGACACATTTTTACTGGTCGCAGTACCGGTACCCATTCTACTACTACGTAAAGTGGCCATATCCGGTACCCGGATCGCCTGAACTATGTTGTTACAAGAATCCCGGATACCTGCCAGCGCCCTCTCTCTCAGCGCTTGTAACTTCTGCTCGCTGATTTTCAAATCAGCATCCGGTATGGGATAAGTAGTCGGTCTCAGTGCGCACTGCCTATAAATAATATCTCTCATTGTACTGTAAACGCACATGTCTTTTTGCCAAACGCCTTCCTGAACCTGGCCGCTGTCCAGGTGGTAGTAGAGACCTTCGCCGTGCTTGAAGTTATTTTTCCATGAACCTTCAAAACGGTTACCATTGGGTTCCACCATGATTCCCGTGCCTTCGCGTACATCGTTTTTAAATTCACCATCGAAAAAGGCCCCGATTGCGTAGAACATTTGACCTCTACCGTGTCTCTTTCCGCAACGGAACGCTCCCATGTAAAAACTTCCGTCCGGAAAAATTTTCAAACCTTCTCCGTGCATTCTACCGTTTCTCCATTCACCCCTATAGTGAAGCACGTACACTCCCTTCGTGTCCGGTATTAGGTGAGCCAAAATTCCAAATCCGTGTCGGAAATTGTTTTTCATTTCGCCCTCGTACAGTTCATTGTTTCTGGTTATAATCAGGCCTTTGCCGTCTTTCTTGTCGTCTTTCCATTCTCCGATGTATTTGTCGCCCGCAAGATTGAAATACGTGTGTCGCAGGCCGTTTCTTTTTGTCGTATTTTCCAAAACTCGCGACCGACCGATTTTATAGTTCGACGCTTTGAGAAACGGCATGATTTGTTGTGGGTTGTTGAATCGATATTTCGTCCAAAATATTCGCTTGTATATTGACCGAATATTTCGTTTTTTGTGTCAAACTTGGCAGAATTTTTTGGTACTTTGATAACCTTAGGAGCTTGTTCAGCTTCGAGTAATTAGTAATGACAGTTTCAATTCAATCCTGGGATTAACCAAGTATTGAATTGGATTATCTTGTGTAAAATATTCTAGAAGGAACTGAAGGTCTGATACGTGTTGTGTCTTTGCAATGAAACACTCTTGGGTTCGATAAATTAACTTTATAGTATGGCATCAATATGACTACTGTTTTAGCGGAGGCTTCAATGAATGGTACCACAGTTGGTTGGGATATTTTAAGTACTTTATTACAACTATGCAAAATATAACATAAAGGAACAACGTCCGTGATGACAATTCGAATTGACAATTTTCAATTACCTTTATAACCAGTCTTCTTCTTCTTCTTCTTCTCCGGCCGTTATACATTCACTGCAAGATGTAGGCATCTTTCAATACTCTCCAATCGTTTCGGTTTTGTGCTTTCTTTATCCAATTTTTACCAGCTATGATTCGTATGTCATCGGTCTACCTTTTAGGAGGTCGACCCACTGAACGTTTTATTAGGCGTGGTCTCCAGCATAGTAGTCTTTTCGCCCATCTGGGTGTTTCAGAAATGGTGTTACAAACTTCAAGGACAGATAGTTTTCATGAAAATAATTAAAAAAGTTCCTATGGATATAGGTCCGGAAACGCTTTGTTTCCAAGATACAGGGTGATACGTTTTTCAAAAAAAAAAATAGTTTTTTATTAATAGTCCAAAAGAGCTTTGGCCGATTTCAATGAAATTTTCACGGTTTATTTCAACCATTATCAGACATCTACTGGATCAATTAGATTTGATCCAGAATTCCCAGGGGCGTACCTAGCGACCAAGTCGGTTGTTTTTGTGTAGAAAAAATATCACTCTGTAGTTTTTGTACGATTTTTATTGATTATTCAGAAAGACACACTAAAAATACAACATTTTTGTCTCTCAAATTTTTCAATAATAATCTCGCTTCGTTTTCGCGGAAAAATTACAATACCATACCTCGGCACGTCTCTGGACTCCATAAGGAAAGATAAAAATTGATAGGAATTTAGGTACATCACCCATTCATTGAGTGACAAGGACATAAATTCCATTTGCGATTTTTTTTTGTTTTGTTTTCATAAATCAACAAACTCCGATAAATTTTTCAATTCCTAAGCAGTTTTATTTTTTCTTATGGAGTTCAGAGACATGCCGAGGTATGGTATTGTAATTTTTCCGCGAAAACGAAGCGAGATAATTGAAAAATTTAAGAGACCAAAATGTCAATAAAAATCGTACAAAAACTACAGAGTGATATTTTTTCTGCACAAAAACAACCGACTTTGTCACTGGGTACGCCCCTGGGAATTCTGGATCAAATCTAATTATTAGTCCAGTAGATGTCTGATAATGGTTGGAATAAACCGTGAAAATTTCATTGAAATTGGCCAAAGCTCTTTTGGACTATTAATAAAAAACTATTTTTTTTTGAAAAACTTATCAACCTGTATCTTGGAAACAAAGCGTTTCCGGATCTATATCCATAGGAACTTTTTAAATTATTTTCATGAATACTATCTGCCCTTGAAGTTTGTATCACCATTTCTGAAACACCCTGTATATAGTTCAGTCTACCAAAAGCTGCCCATCCAAGTTTAATCCTTCTCGAAATTTCAGTTGTTTGGTTATCTTTACCGAGTCTTATGGCATGACCCAGATATACATACTCTTTGACGTTTTCGATTCTTTGCTGATTGACCGTAATCAGTTCTTCGTTTTCGCTTAAGATTTTAGTCTTGGACAAATTCATTCGGAGGCCTACCCTTGCAGATGCGTGAAGGAGTTGTTCGAGCATTATTTGGAGTTCCTCCGATGATTGGGCAAGGATAACAACATCATCCGCGAAGCGCAAATGGTTGAGCATTTTGCCGTCCACTCTAATACCTTCCTCATTCCAATCCCACGTCTTAAAGACGTCTTCTGTCGCCAGTGTAAAAAGTTTTGGGGAAATAGTATCTCCCTGTCTGACTCCTCTTTCCATTTTCATTTTCTTCGTCGTTGTTATTTCATCTAGTTTGACACTCATCGTAGCTGTTTTGTAGATAAACGATTTTATGCCAGAGTATCTATGGTCTATTCTGGCATTGTTTAAGGCTTCTAGAGTGGCGTGTAAGTGTAGCTCTCTATAGTCAAAAGCCTTCTCATAATCTACGAGTGCTATGTATATAGGGATGTTATATTTGGTGCTTTTCTCTATGAGTGTGCGGATCGCCTGAAGGTGGTCTACAGTACTGTATCCACTTCTGAACCCTGCCTGCTCTGGGGGTTGATAGAAATCAAACTGGTTTGTTAGGCGGTTTATAAGAACTTTTGTGAGTAATTTGTAGAAGTGGGATAAAAGACTGATGGGGCGATCATTTTCAAGTTTTGTGTTATCTCCCTTTTAGACCCTGAGATAGGGCCTGTTTAGTGGAGTCATTTTTTTTTGTCTGGCATTCTGAGAGATGAATGTGGCTGATTAGCTGATGAGAATATAGGTGGTTTTAATGCCTGCCACCTGTTCGAAATGTCCACAGAATGTTTCGCCGGAAAACTCGACTTCGAACTGAGATTACCGTCTGGCGATTTTTCAGCGATATTTTCACAACAAAACCTTCCATACTCTCGATTACCAGACAAAAAGTAAACACGGAAGGTTCTTTTCTTTTCTCTTGGAAGTTGGCACTCATCCCCACTTTTTCAGCTATTGAAAAGCACCTGGTATTTTTTATGGGTGAAATATTTATCAATGTCAATCTTTTATTTAGAAGCCAAAAAATTTGAGATCAGTAAAAAAAAAATCCTCATGTAAATCAATTATTTTCTTCTGCAAATTTTCGAACGGGAGGCGGGCATTATAATCACTCATATTCTCATCAGCTTAGTAGCCACATTCATCCCTCAAAATGCCAGACAAAAAAAAATGACTCCACTAAACAGCCCCTATTTCACAGTCTATTTTTATGGATGAGCGTGATTGTTGCGTTTTGCCATAACTGTGGTATTCTTTGTTCAGCAATGCACCCATTAAAGATTTCCTTTATTCTCTTCAGTAGAGGTTCTTCGCCATATTTAAACATTTCCGTTGTCAATCTATCCTCTCCAGGTGTCTTGTTGGTTTTTCATTTGAGACCATGCCTTCTTTATTTCGTCGATGGCTACTTCAGGAATTTCCTCAGAACCAACGTTATAGTCCAAGAGCCCAGAGCCGCCAGACACAACTTATTTTCTAAAGGACAGAATATGTGGGATTGTGTAGCACTTATATGTACTATGAACGTATGTATACCCGCTAAGTTGGGTAGACGGCCAATTTACCGACACCAGGTGCGAAAGCTTAAAAAGTACTTTAACTTTTTTTTTCTATTTTGGTGTCATATCGAAGTCTTTTCGACACTAAAAGTAGTTTCGAAAAGAAGCTCTTTGTGACACTCCTTTTTTACTTATCGGAGGTTGGTAACACTAGCTGATTGATGGCCATTGAACTGTCATTCGCGATAAAAAATAATAGAAGATTTCTATATTTGGCATGTAGTGTTGCCAACCTAAACATATGAAATCAGGAAATATGAGAATAAAATTTCCAAGAAAAGTTTGTTTTATTCAATTAAACAATACCAAAATAGAAAAAATAGTATAAAATATTCGTTTCATAAGTCATTTTATCGCACTCGCCCTTTAGAAAACTCGCCTCCGGCTCGTTTTCTAATATAGGGCTCGTGCGATAAAATGACGTCCTATGAAACTTGTATTTTAATGTACTATTCTAACGCTTGATTTTTATACATGTTATTGGGGAGACTATTTCATAACTACGTGTGCTCAGCCAGACCAATCGCACCGTCCAAACATCCCCCTAGACGCAATAATAGTTTTTCCGTGAGTGTGAGCGCGAGGGTACTATGCATGCGTTTGAGAGTGCGCGAGATATCTATTTCCCCCTCTTAAACTTACAGTCTACTCCAGGCTAGAGTAGAAATGGGATTCGGTTTTTCCCATAATGGGAAAAACTGTTATTTACAAATAACAGTCAACTGGCCGTCTACCCAACTTAGCGAGTATACATACGTTCATAGTACCTATAAGTGCTACTCAATCCCACATATTCTGTCCTTTAGAAAATAAGTTGTGTCTGGCGGCTCTGGGCTCTTGGACTATTAGTGACTGGAGGTCTTTTACACTTGTACCTACTTACCGGTAATAGTTAACCAGTATTACCGGTAAACTGAAACTGACGCTGATGCAACATCTTTCCCCTTCCAAACGAAATACAAGAGAAAGCGTATTGAGCATCACATATACAGGGTGAGTTACTAAGCGCGCGGTGGTCCATATCTCTTATACTAACGGAAATCGGAGAAAAAACTAAATACAAAACTTGTAGATAAACATGAGTACTACATTCCTAATTATTTTCCAGTATACAGGGTGGCCCAATAACTAGTAGTGACACAAAGTTATGTTTTTTTAAATGACTTCCCCTGTATATTATGACGTTTCTGGATTCTGCGGAAAATTCTAGACATATTTCATGTATAATGTCATCTTCAACTGTTTCGGAAATATTAACAGTTGAAAATTGACTTTTTTGCATCTTTGACAGACTGTGAAACCTAAACGGTTAATTTTAGAGAAAAACGGATTTCACATTCCCATCTTAGATTTTTATAAGCCATCATTTGACACCACATTTGAATTTAACCGAAGATTAATAATTTAGGCGAAATTTTTAATCATGGATTAAATTTAAGATTGGTGCCAAATGATAGTTTATGAAAAACTAAGATAGGAATGTGAAATCCGTTTTCTTGTAAAATTAACCGTTCACGTTTAACAGTCCGTCAAAGATGCAAAAAAGTCAGTTTTCGACTGTCAATATTTC